CTCTCCCCTCTCTCCTCCCCTCTCTCCTCCCTCTCTCCTCCCTCTCTTCCCTCCTCTCTCTCTCTCTCTCTCTCTCTCTCCCTCCCTCTCTCTCTCTCCCTCTCTCTCCTCCCTTTCTCTCCCTCCCTCTCTCCCTCCCACTCTCTCCCTCCCTCTCTCTTCTCTCCCCTCTCTCTCCCTCTCTCTCTCTCTCTCCCTCTCCCTCCTCCTCTCTCTCTCTCTCTCTCTCTCTCTCTCGAGTCCAATTTGGTCACATGACCTGTTTCCTCGCCTATCAGGTCACCATTTCGAAAATGTCTTAAATGTCTGGCTCGACCGTGTTAGTACATGTCCTACAAATACTCGCATTTACACAGACTTCGAGAAACGTGCGTAGAAATACGTGTAACCTTGGCTATTTCATTTGGATCGTACGAAGAGGGAGAGAGAGAGAGATAGGAAGAAAGAGAGGGAAATAGAGAGAGAGGGGTGGGAGAGAGAAGAGAGAAGAGAGGGAGAAAGAGAGAGAAAGGGGTGGGAGAGAGAGAGAGAGAGAGAGAGAGAGAGAGAGAGAGAAGAGAGGTCGATAATTGAGTGCGTGTTCTAGACGAAGGTCGGGTTTCATTGCGCGGGGAAGCTATTTACCTTTTCTTCTTTTATTCCCTCCTCCTCTTCTTCCCACCCCTTCCTTCCTTCCTCTCTCTCACCTTACTCATCTCGCCTTCCCTTCATCTCCCCTCCTCTCTCTCTCTCTCTCTCTCTCTATCTCTATCTATCTATCTATCTATCTATTTATCTATCATCTACTCTCCTCTCTCTCTCTCTCTCTCTCTCTCTCTCTCTCTCTCTCTCTCTCTCTCTCTCTCTCTCTCTCTCTCTCTCTCTCTCTCTCTCTCTCTCTCTTCTCTCTCTCTCTCTCTCTCTCTCTCTCTCTCTCTCTCTCTCTCTCTCTCTTCTCTTTCTCTCTCCATCCCTTCGCCCGGGCAGCGTCGAGAGGGGGCGGGGCGGAAGGGGAGGAGCCAGTGAAGGGAAGGATGTGGGCCAGGGGAACGAAGTGAGGGAGGGAAGGGGAGGGAGGGGGAGGAGAAGGCAGAGAGAGGTAAGGACGGAATGGAGAAGGCATGAGGAGGAGAGAGAGGGAGTAAGAGATTGGAAGAAGGGAAGTGGGAGTAAGGGAAGGAGGGACATAGGAGGAAAGGATTGGCAGACAGGGGTAGGAGTGGGGGAGGGGGGGGGTTGGCAAAGGAGAGAAGGGGATGGCAGAGGAAGGGCGGGGAGGACACTGGTGGATAGGAACGGGAAGGAATAAAGAAAGGGAGAGGGCAACGAAGGAAAAACGCAGGATATGGCGAGAAGTGAGAGAAGCCAGGAGGAGGTAGGAGAGGAAGAAGAAGGAGGAGGAGGTAGGAGAGGAGGTAGGAGAGGAAGAAGAAGGAGGAGGAGGTAGAGAGGAGGAAGGAAGGAGAGAGAAGGAGGAGCGGTAGAAGGGGAAGAAGAGGAGGAGGAGGTAGGAGAGGAAGAAGAAGGAGGAGGAGGTAGGAGAGAAGAAGAAGGAGGAAGAGAAGAAGGAAGGAGGAGAGGAGGAGAAGAAGAAGGAGGAGGAGGTAGAGAGGAAGAAAGAAGGAGGAGGAGTAGAGGAAGAGACAGAAGAAGGAGGATAGCGAGGTAGGGCGGGTAGAAGGGGAAGAGAAAGGAGGAAAAGAAGTACAGAAAATAAAAACGAAAGGAGCGCCAAGGAGCAGCAAGAATCGTGATGCTTATAGCATTTTTTTTTTTTTTTTTTTTCGTTCTCTGATCGAATGCTTGGTAGAACGAAAAAAAAAATGCTATAAAACCCTACCCCCCCCTCTCCCCCCGAAGATAAAAAAAAGAAAGATAAAAAAGGTGAAAGAGAGAACGAGGTGTGCAATAGAAGCGAAAACCCATCGACGTCGACTTTCATCGGACGCATTCTTGTCGACGCCTCCGTGAGCTCCCCTTCGCCCTCGCCTTCGTGGTTACCTAACTCTCGCTGATCCCGAGGAGCCTCAGATAACGTAGAAAAAGGGGTGAGGGGGGTGTCCACGATAGGTTAGTGAGGCAGGTATCGTTGTTCATCGGTACTTGTCAATGCGTCTGACCTTTGATGAGGAAATTGTTAAAAAAAAATTGGTATGAACTTAGGGTTTGATAAAGCGATTGTTGCGAAGGCCAGTTTGTTGCGTTCTGCTTTTGAAATGGGTGCTTGGTATGAGCCCCTGTTCGGGTTGTAATATTGATATAATAATATAACAGTATTTGTGGAAAGGTATGAATGAGAACGAATATCTTCACAATACAAGAGATGTATTTAACCTGTTTCGATTATATCTTCGTCAAATATACATGTATGTATTTCTGACGAAGATATAATCGAAACCGGTTAAATACATCTCTTGTATTGTGAAGATATTCGTTCTCATCCATACCTTTCCACATTTGTCAACATGAATACGGTTCATATAACAGCATATTATTGGCCTTATTGATGTCAGCATGAATA